CAGCATGCGCGCAAGAGGGTCATTGCCACCTACCAGGTGAGTGGTGCCGCCTGCCCCTTGCCCACCTGTGTGCAGGATCCAGGGAGGCTCTGCTCGCCCAGCAAGGCTTCCCCAGTCTTGGACAACGCCCCTCCCCCTGATGTTCCTTTCCAGGAGGCCCTTATTCCCATAGGGGTTAATGTCTAGAAAACGATGAAAAGCCCCTGCAAATGTTTATGTGGGCGATTTTGCTTGTGATTATAGTTTAGTTGCCTGCTCCTCTATCCCGCACAACTGGCCTTCCCTGGGTCTCATCTCTGCACCTAAGACTTCCTTCCCCATAGGCTCATTCCAACTTCTCCTTTCCTCTCACTAACCCTCAGAACATTGCTCTATACCAATGGTTGCCCAGCTTCCTGCAGAAAACACCCCCAGAGTACTCAGGTAAGGGAGAGGAGTTGTGAAGGGGGGGGGAGGGGGACCACGGGGACGGGACGGGACACAGGACGGGACACCTAAGCTGAAGACTCATAGAGGAAAGAAAGGTAGATCTGTGATGCCAGGGTGTGAGGTTAGGCACCTGTCTTCGTGCAGGGTACCGCCCTTTCATGGACCCCAGCATCTCCCCAGAGTTCGTGGTGGCCTCTGAGCAGTTCTTCTCCACCATGGTGCCCCCTGGGGTCTACATGAGGTAAGGGAAGACTGGTGGAGCCACACAGTGTTGGAAGTAGGTGGTCCGTGAGTGGGCTTGGGGCTTGGGGTTTGCAAACCCCCCATAGTTTCATCAGAAGAGAAGTGGAATGGGGCGGGGACTGAAACAGGATCCTGGGGAGGGGGAGGTTTGGGTTCCATAGGAAATCCCTCAGCTCTCCTAATAACCGCGTTTTGGTTTCTGAGTGTGGGTATGTCTGTGGCTGTGGTACCTTTTCACCTCCCACCACCCACAGGTCATAGAGATCACTCTATCTCCAAATGTTTTGGTTCAAGAAAGTTCGTGGGTCATCCTTCACTCCCGGCCAGTCCCCAGAATTGCTCACCTCATTCACCATCTCAGCTTCTGCCCTGAATTCCTCCATTGTATTTTTATTGGCACTCCGTTTCAGAAACTCCAGCTGTCATTTCCGGAAATTCCCGAAGGAAGGTTCTGGCAGTGCTCCAGCTCTCAGGGTCTGCAACAGCTACTGGATCCGAGAGGTCAGCATGGGGTCAGGGCCGGAGAGTGGAGCCCTGGTCACCATCATTTACCATAAAAGCTTGGAGAAGTACCAATGTGGGTTCTTGAGCAGTGGTGCTGCAGGTAGGGAGTTAAAGGTAGAGAACATTATCTGGGGAGACTTGCCCAGGAGAGTCTGGACATGCCTAGGCACAGGGCAATGTGCCTGCTGCCTGGGAAACTGAGGCAGGACTACTGCTAGTACCCAGGTGTTCAAGGCCTGGGCAGTCTACCAAGATAGAGAGGAGGAAGGAAAAGGGGAGTGGGAGAGAGAAAGGAGGGGCAAGGGGGAGGGGAGGGGAGAGGAGGGGAGCTAGAGACCAGAGAGGACCTTCCGTCTTGGAGTGCTACTGTGGTCCAGGGTAAAAATCTTGAGGGTATTGTTTACTTTCAGAACCCCAATCTGAAGAGTGCCCAGGAGGTGGATCAGCTGCTGCTGGGAATGGCCTCCCAGATTTCAGAGCTGGAGGACAGGATAGTGGTTGAAGACCTGAGAGGTGAGCGCCGAGGGTGGGGTGTCCCAGCTGGGAGACTGAGGATCCTTCTGGGTTAGTCAGCAGGCAGACTTAAGGTCCCGATGATGCAGACACGCAGACATACACTCGCAGACTTCAGACAGATGTCAGAAGAAATTGAAATTTGTCCCCGTCCCCCCTTAATTTATAGTTTTGTGTTGCTTTTATTGTGTTAACTATGCCTGAATATG